TGCTATTCCTTATAATTCTATCCCCACTAGCCTCTCTCCATTCTAAGAAACAGATATTTTATTCATGTTTGTATAATGACAGCTAACCTTCAGAGTTTAAGCCTAAATTAAGAATTTACTTTTATGTTGATTTCACAAATTCCTTACAAAGATGTTTAATGTGAGATGAAGTCATCAATGTAATATGCAACTCTAAAAAAATTCCACATACTTCAAACTGGTTAGCATTCAGATCTTGGTTAAAAAACCCCACAACCAACCATAAAACCAAAGCAAACAGTCTGTGGGATGAAAAGAATACAATAGCCCATCTATTAAAATCCAGAAAAGAATGAGTAAGAATGTGCCAAGTTACAACTTTCCCCCTGTCTTTAGTACTAGACATACTGATCTTTATGGAGTAACTGTTAAAAGACAACAGGAAAATACAGACATTTATCTCCCCCTTTTTGAAAAATCATCAGTAACCACTGGGGGGATGGTGTTTCTGTTTCTTCCTGTTGAGTAACAGTAAACCAAAATTCTGTTAGAGAAGAGGAAAATTTAAAAAATCACAATGTCACAATTAATTGTCTTTGTTTATGCTATAGTATTCTGTAATCACACCAGTGGAAACCAGGCTTTTGGGCTCCACTCATCAGGTTCTAAAATGGACTCTGAAGAGATTCCTTCCTGCGAGACAATGGTGACCTCTGTTTTTCCCTCTCGTTGGTACCAGCCATGATGCTGTTTTGGCCTCGTGTCACACACTGTTTCAGTAGTGCACTTTGAAACAAACGGGCAGTTACTGAGAAAATCTAGGCTGAAGTGTTGCATTCAAGTTTCTGCCCAGGAAAGGATGTGTCTATTCTGCACTCTGCTTGAGAAAATTTTCCCTGCGGGTTTCCTCTCAAGCAGCCCCTAGTCTGGCTACCAGGTTTTCCAGTTCATAGCTGTGAATCACTGCAGGAAGGAGCAGTTGCAAACATTTTAAGCCACAGTGCTAGTAATAACACCTGCAGTGTATTATGAGAAAAAGCTGCAGGTATTACTATAGAGAAGGAAGTTGAAAGAAAGAAAGAACCTGTTTTGAGCAGATTCCATTTCTAAAACTGGAGCTGAGATTTTAAAAAGGTGTTAGGTTGCACAAATATTTGTTTCACCCTATGATGCTTTTAAAAAAGTTTTTTGGTGTGCTTTCACACTTCAGTGACCCAGACTTCATAACTCCAAGGATATTTTCCCTGGTGCAAGAGAAACTTCAATAGTTTTAACTGTTTTATTTCTTTTTTAACCTCTTTAAATTGCTGATGTGAGGACATAGTTTGGAAACTGACCTCTCTCTTTCCAGAAAACTCTTCCCAGGCAAACTTCCCTACTTTTTCCTTGGGTTTCTCCAGCACATCTTCTACCTATGCTACAGACTCTAGAGTGTCTCTATCATAGTGCTCATCAGTAAAGAAACTACTCAAATTCAAATGACTGGTAAAGAAGAAAAAGGATGGAGAAAAATAAATGTTCTGTTAGGAAAGAAATAAGTTTCTGACCTCCTATAGTTAGTTACCAATGGATGAAATAAACGGGGAACAAAATTCAGTTCAGCTACAAGACTTGTAGTTGTGTTGGCTGTTCTGGAATGTCTCACAGAGAAAGAATATTTTTAAACCAAAACTACCTTCCAACTCCTCTAGAAATAATTTTTGGCTTCTTTTGATGCCATCAAACCTACAATGGGTTTGGATGCCCTAATTTTCCTGTAAATTAAGAAATACGTCAAAACAAGAAAAAAGGAAGAGAGTCACAAAAGATTTTGGTGTGACTAAAAAGTCTCCTGAACACAGGCAGCAAGAAAGAGAAGTTTTGCCCAGGTTTCCTGATGATGTCAGCCTTTGAAGAGCTGAGTAATGCACTCTTTGTTTTCGGGTTTGTACCAACAGGGAAACAGAAAAGCAAGTGGGAAAGGCAAGGGATCACTAAGGGCAGTGACTGGGATGAGAGGAGGAACCTGCAGTCGGATTCCCAGCTGAGCATGGTCTTGTTGATACAGAGGTGGGAAATCAACGAAGGCATCTTCTCCACTAGAACCACCTTCATGGGAGGTGACAGATAGCAGCATCTTCCATCTTTGCTTCTGCGCCACCACACCAAAGTACAATCACATAGCTGACAAACAAACCGAGATGAAGACTAATGTCTGCAATTTCTTGAGACAGAGGCATTTCCAAAAGAGGGCCAGTGGAAATTCTCCTTCTTGTTGCCAAGGGAGAAGAGGCTAAGAGAGCCAGCACTCTTCATCTGGGAGAAGACTGGGGGGAGCATGAGTGTCTTAGCTTGTGCATAAAACCCTTCTGAGAAGGGTGAAGATGAGGGAGCCAGGCTCTTTTCTTTGAAGAGCCTGGTTGCCCAGGCAGGTTGTGGAATCTCCATCCTTGGATATATTCACAATCCAAGGGTACATAATTCTGGGACCCTGCTTGAGCAGGGCAGTTGGACCAGAGGACCTCCACAGATCCCTCAAAACCTCAGCTGTTCTGTATGATTCTTTGGTTTGGTTTGACTCCTAAAGTCTCTGAGCTCAAGCCTGATGTCGACTGGCAAGGATTCTGGGGCAAAGGATGATCCCAAACTCCTCCCTTAGGATCCATCACCAAACAGCATCTCCCCAGTCCAGACATCATAATACAGACACAGTCAGAAGAGACAAAAGATCATTTTTTTTCTGGACATCAACTGCAGGGTGTGGAGGGAAGCCCAAGAGTCACAGATGTTCAGACAGTAACAAGAAATTGGCACCTGCAAGAACACAGTCAGGGAGCACTTGATAAAACCACCAAGGCAGGAATAGGTATGACTTGCTTCCCCTTTCCTTTGGAAACACAGTTGACAAAGAATTGTGTACGGCCCAGAAAAAAGAGCTATTGCTTGTTGACCACTACCCTTTAGATGTGACCATACAACTAGTTCTTTATCCACTGAACAGCCCACTGTTGTGGGGAACTAGGTGAAAGGCTTTACAGAAGTCCAGATAAATGACATCTACAAGCCTTCCCTTTCCCACTGTTGCAGTCAGTCCATCACAGAAGGCCACTAGGCTGGTCAGGCAGGACTTGCCCTTGGTGAAGCCCTATTGGCTGTCCCAGATCACCTCCCTGTCCTCTGTGTGCTTCAGCATAACTTCTAGGAGGGTTGGTTCCTGATCTTCCCAGGCACAGAAGTGAGGCTCACAGGTCATTAGTTCCTAGGGCCCTCCTTCCTACCCTTTTTGAAGATGGGTGCAGTGTTTCCCTTTTTCCAGTCACCTGGGACTTTACCTGATGGGTTTTTTTACTGAAAGAGGGGAAGAATTTCATAAGCGGCTGCAATGACAAAAGATCTGTCATATGACACTTAACATAGGTTCCTAATGTCCTTGAGAAATACCCTTTTTAATGCTCCTCTTTGCCTGAGAACCAAGAAATGCCACTTTGCAATGTATAAATCTGTATTTATGCTGATTCTTGCTAACATGCAGAAAATACCTATCAGCAAAGTGATAAATCAGTTCCCCAGAGTACAAAGCAGCCCTAAAAAAGGAACCAAAAAATAATCAATTCAAAGTATTTACAGTAGATGGAGCTATATATTTTGCTTTGCTCATATGTTACATGATATTCCAAGATAAGTGTACAGTTTGACAAGGACTGTGGTAAGGCAGTGGTATGATCTCATCAAGGAATGGAGTTAGTCACAGAGGGCATTTCATAAATTGCTGCAATTAGCTCTCCTGGAAATAAGCCATGTAACATCAGTAGAAATAGCAACTCAAGAAAAGATTATTGCTGTATATTGGTGTCTTAATAGAAATCACAGCTCAAGTCTAAGGGTTTGCTGTATCTGCTCACGAGCTTGAAGGTTCTCCTGCCCCTGCTGGCTTTTGTTTACCAACCAGGTAAAATGAGCACTGAAGAGAAGGTGAAGGTTTCTGTATACAATACCAACCAGAATCTATGTGCGATGTCCACAGATTATCCTTCAGAGGTCTGGGCTCCTGCATAACCAAAGTGCTTACTCAGTGTATGTGTACATGCATAGGGTTCCTTGTCTAAAATGAACCCTGTTCTTGCCTTTATTGCTGCCAAGATCCACATGGATGTGTTTCCCAGGCTGCATTTGCATCATCTTTAAGCTACAAAAATTTTGATTGCACACCAAGGATAAGGGACATTATTTTTGCAGTTTCTAATAGAATTGCTTTTATCCCAAAGTAGTTAAAAGAAATCTGGTACAATTCCTTGCCTATTATGTTTGAATTTGAACTAAAGTTTGGATCTTATACTGTTGTAAAAACTTACTCTCCTTCCACATTCTGAGATGACCCATCTTGCCTATTTGAACTTCACACCCTTAACTCCCTAATTCACTTGCAAATTCCTAACCATAGTGTCAACTGTACAAAAATTAATCCAATTTTAAAAAAACACAACATTTTTATTATTCTCCACCTAATTGTCATTGATGACGCCAAAAAAAGCTACTGGTTTCAAACTGTATTTAGAGACTTTAAAGTTATGGTAATGAAAAGGTGGGAGATGCCCCATACCTGGAAACAAAGGGTCCTGAGCAGCCTGATCTGGTGGCAGGTGCCCATTGCAGAGGGTTGGACTAGATGATATTTAAAGGTCCCTTCTAGCCCAAACCATTCTAGGATTCTGGGAGTCTGAACTGCTAACAGGACTGCACCCTAATATCCCAAATTCCCAACAGCATCATGAATATTCTCTTGCTGCCTATGCTTAGGTGTGTGGGGGAGGATGTTCCTGCAGGCAGGTACCAGCTAATCCAGGAGTGATTAGAAACATTTTGAAAGCATGTGGGATGATGTGATTTTGTAGAAGGATAGAGGAATATTTATAATTCCTAATACATGAAACTTTTAGAGAAGAAGCATTCCTACTCCTTTCTCCATATACCATTTCCTTTCTCTGTGTTTATCCAATTTAGATATATTTCTCAGGAGACACATCATGGGGCTGAATCCGAACTGTATTGCAACTCTGTTGTACTTTATTTTCCTTTTCTCATATACTGCAAAGGGAATAAGGGGTAGGGGGAAGTACATAGTAAATATGAATGGGTACTGCAGCTAGTAATTTACTAATCCACAAGTCTAAACATGTACACAGAAGCAGTCCAGATAAACTGAATTGTAAGAACAGTAACTAATTAAGCACAACTGTTTTTGTAAGATTTCCCATGGCTTGCCTTTATAATGCCAATTTCTATGCAATAATAAATTAATAATTCTTCACCTGTATAAAAATTTAAAATCCATCTGTTTATTGACCAAAATAAAAGTTTAGATTCTTCCTCTAAAATGAAAAGTCACTTTCTGGATAGTTGGGAAACAACATACTTGATGAATTTGCAGTGTTTACTCTGCTAAAAAGTGAATATAACTACTGGGCATGAAAATGCATGAATAGATAAAAATAATGCATACAATAGATAAAATATATAATAATAACAATGAGTAAATTAAACAATTAGAACTAAATGGTGATCTCTCCTAAACTATGTTTTAAGGTATTTTGTTGTGAGAAAAAGGACAAACCCACAGATAACAGATTATATACAGGAAGCCTGTCCATTTATTTCAAAATTGGCGATTTTGTAAAATAAATTTGAGCTATTCACTAATAAATACTATTGTTATTACAGCATAACAGTTTCTAAAAACACTTGCTTTTCTAGTGTACCAACTATACATAAGAATATAGTTCTTTCTCACAAAAATTAGCTTTGAGCAACTAGTGCAAACATCCAACACAAACTTGACTGAAAGTGTTAAGAAATGTATTTGAAAGTACATGAAAATGCATCTCCTTCAGTATATCTGGATACCACTCAAATTCTCCCAGCATTTGTTTGCATTTAAAAAAAAAAATCATCATTCCTCACCACTTGTTAAAGAGGAACATGTATTTTAAGTATTACATTCCTTACTTACAAATTATTTATTTAGGATGAAGTCCCTCATTAACTCTTTAGCAAACTAGCAGTTTACATTTTAAACTGGAGAACTTTAACAAGAAAGGGTAAAACAGTTTATTCAGCTTTTTACAAAGCAGTATACAATAGCACAAAGTGGTATGCCTACTAAAATGTTTTGTTCAAGACAAAAGCAGAAGTTGAATTTTTTATTACAATAAAAATTCTTATTTGCCCTGTGTAATTTATTTGGCAATAAAACAAGACTGCATTGCTTCTCTCAAAAACTGAGCAGCATATACTTTGAAAGTCACTTGATTTACATCAAACCAGAGATTTTAAAGTAAACAATGGTGATTTTCTGTTACAGTCTTAATCATGGCCATGGACCAGGACCCCCCTGTACAAATTGGTCCTTGGACACACGGCAAATCTATTCTGTGAATCAAAGAAATTCCAGGAAGGCCCAGTGAAAGTAATGAAACTATTGAGGGAATAAAATATTACCTGGCCTGAACATAGCAGTGAAGGCAAGTATATAGTCTTTCTTGGAATGATAGATTTTAGTATTTCTCACCAAGAAAAAATTAATTATTTTTATTGGTCCTTCTAGCCTTTTCATGGATAAAAACCCAAAACATTAATCACTCATGGGCCAATTTTATGTTCTAGAGACATAAACTTAGATACTCCCCCGCTATGGGGAGAAAATAACTGGGTCTCATTTTCCAGTATCAGCAGTAGCAGCTCCCTGGAAAGGACTCATTGAAAGTGCCACTGAGGTGGAAGGAAGTTTTCCATGTGTTACATTTAGTGGAGGAAAGAAATACTTTCACGCTTCACAATTTCAGTTAAGATAACCCTGAAATGACTATGGCATTTGGAAAAAAAAGGTTTAATTTTTCACCCTTTGTGGGCTCTGCCGGTGTGTAAAGCGATGGACAGCTATGCCACTCAGAACATGACTTTTCCATACCATTTAATGTGCATGCACCTCCCGTTCTCCTGCACGAACAGCTTCACAGTCTTGGGGTGGTGTGGGTGGGAACAAGCCATACTGTATGTCCTGTTTATATACAAACCAGGAATGTGAACGATCATAAGTTGGGCGGCTGCAAATTATTGTTATCAGTGGTGTGCTGAGGGAAAGAATCAGAAGTAATTTACCCGCCAAAAAACCGCACAGTGCAGAAATACAAAGAACTGAGGGGTTTTTACCTCCATTCAGATCTGTTACCTATTAGCTCAAGTGAAACAGCATACAGCCTGTTGTCAGGGTATGAGCTTTCAGCTGTAGCAGTTTGGAACTTCCATGGCCATATCCCAGCCTGAAACCTCATCCTCATCTTCCAGTTATTTGTTCCCCACTACTGTTCTAACTTTCTCTCTTTAGAGGGGATCCTGCAGAATTTAGACAAACAAATGCACTGTGTACAAGGGGAGGTAACTAAAGTGAGTGGTATAGTTGGTGTATGTTGGATTTTTGAGGGGATCCAGCTCTAAGGGCATTGCATAGGCTTCAGGGACTTCCTGGCCTATGGGGTTAATGTTGATTTAAGTGCCCTCAGGGCCAGGTCCTGTAGTGTGTGCTTAGCACACAGATGTGTTGCACTGACTTCCACAGAAGTAGAGGAACTGAACACATCATTGGATGCATTCACATTTGTGCTTGGCAAGAAGGGACTCCAAGTATTTAAAGCTAGCATAAGTGATAATGAACAGTTATTATCATCTTATAATAATAATAATGGCCAGTCTTCGCAAGAGAAGATCCGGGGAAGGTCTTTACACCTTCCAGCCTGCGCATTGGATTTTTTTAGGTGAGACACAGTGTGCGCGGAACTGAGCCCACCCTTTAATCCTAAGGTTCATCTGCCGGGGCCAAGCGAGCTTGGACGGTGGCAGCGAGGTCCTTAGGATGTAGATGGGTTGCCTTTTTAAGGACTAACGAGCTCCATCTGCCCGGGAGTGGCCCTGACCGGGAATCGAACCCTGGCCCACATACACTGGCCAAATTAATCTCCTACAGCTCTGATTCTGTGAGGATTGTTGCAGAGAACCCTAAAAAACCCAATGGATATTTCATGGTACCCCATAAACTCAGTGGGGCATTACTTGGGTAAAGAAGTTACAGTCATACTGAGCTGGAATAAACAGAGTGTCCAGAAGATGTAGAGGATTTAAGTGTGTTTAGACACCAAATATCAACATGTAGAAATTTCAGCTTCCGGAAGTTTTAATGGAAGAAAGTAGCTTAATCACTCAGTATATTTTGCAACTGTAGCTGAAAGTTTAACATTACAAAATGACATATTGCTATGCAGCTTTAAGAATCACACAATTGTATTCAATCATTTCCCCTGCTTTTCAAGTCTGCTGTTCATTAAAAACTCTTCGCCTGCTTGCAGTTTCCAGTTTTCAAATGGATGACACAACCAATGCATAGCTTAATGCTCATGAGTCATAATTAATAAATAATTGTATCACATACACAGAATTTTACAGGTACTCTTAAAATGGTTTTACAGTTCTATTAAATATATAGATAAAATAATCACTGCTATATAAAAAAAAATCATTTTCAAACAGCTGAACTCTCAAGCTCTGCATAAAATTCTGTAGACACATTCATTACAATCTAGAAACTCAATAAAAATACATTTTAGAGCTCAATCCCTCAAAAATATTCATGGCATTGAAAACTGATTGTCATTTTTTACTGTAATCTGTGCTTCCCCTACATTTGTACTGAAAATTTCCTACAATTTGGCAAAGGCTATATCCGTGTCAGTTTGTAGTTTATGTGACTGTTTAACTCATTTCCCCAGCTCTAAGTCATCAGCCCCATAAATGTTTTGTGGGGTTCTGTCTTTAATAGTGTATCTTTCCTTGCACTTTCTATAAAATCACAATGAAACACTTTGCAGTTAAGTTACAGGACTACAATGACATTGAGCCATCCTTTTATAGCTGGCCTTTAATGGTGCTTCTGTGAACACCAAACATCCTTTATCCAGTGATCCTCAAACACTTCCTGACACTTACACTTCACAATAATCTGCTACCCACATTTGCTCAAAACCAGTGGGTTTTACAAACAGTCTTAACAGATCAGTACCCTTGTGCATCTGAATTCTGCTGCTAAATCAAAATACCAAATGTAGTCAGTTCAAGGTTGGCGTTTTTCAAAAACCCAGTCAAAAATTCAGGAAAAACTTCCTTATTCGGACAGTGGACATATCTACTGGAAAATGGGTAGACAACAGACTGCCCATCAGCCTTTAACCTCCCACTGCCTCAAGCCAGTCCTCTAGGCAGCAAGTTAAAATAGGCTTTGCCACAGGGAATGTTTCACAATCAGGCTTTTAGATGATAGCTCGGAATAGGCCACAAAGCCCAACAACAAGCAATGTTTTCAGAACAGGGCATTTGCATTGAGGGATTGGATCTTGGACTGTGGAAGAAGAGGTGCAGGCTCACAAGTCAATTTAAGTGGGGGGAAACTGCTCCTTATGCAGATGTCACTCTTTGCAGGTCCAGGTAAAGGCAAAACTCCTGAAGAGTTCAGACTTTTTTTTAAATGCACAGTTGACAATACCAGTATCATCACTCTTAACTCTTCACCTTTGATCTTCTCACTAAAGGAATGGCTGGGTAAGGTACACTACCTCTGTTATAGCAAACCTACAACCAAAATGGAAAGCAACATAACACCAAGCATCATGGACTAATTTAGTATTTCTTTTTCATCTGTTTTGGATGGAGGAAGCAATCTCTGTCTCTCAATGGGATAGGATGAATAGTGTGTATGGGCTTAAACACTGGGTGAGATGACCAAGACAACTGCTGGATGCTGTTTAACATTTAAACTGCTCGTTTCAATGTTTCAGTCACTGTTCATCAGTGGGAGGTAACAAAGAAAACCTTGAGTTTTTTCCCTCTTGGATGAAAATACTGTGTAATGAAATGGCCAGCATCAGTGCATTCCCACCTTTCCATTCTTCATGGATGGATAAGACATCCAAAGAGCTCCTCATTCTGATTAATATTCTTAGAAGGAAGGAGAGAAGACAGAAGGGAGCATACTTGACTTGATTGAACTTTGATAGCTATAAAGTTCTATGAAGAGACTCTAATCCAACTCCAGATAACCTCTGCTGAAAATCAGTAAATATGGAAGGATCAGAGAGTAAAGACAGAAGGAATCAGAAAAGGTTGTCATAAACCAAAGGAGCCTTTGAAGAGTGGAACATAATGAAGAGCTGTCAACACTTTCACTCCAAACTAGTGTACACTGCTACTTACTGCAATTAAATAGATGCTGTATCCCAACCTAGTATTCCCTGGTTTTAAGGGTAAAGATATCATGTTTCTTGTATTAAGTTTTATTCTTTCAGAGGGAAAACCACTAATCCTTCAAAATTCTGTTTTAGCCTACTTCCAGAAAGCATCTTCAAAAGTAAAGGTTTTCTTTTGGAAAGACTTCAGCTTTCTCTTGAAATGTTTAGATTTTTATTTTCAATGTTTAAGATCTCCTGTTGAGCCATATTGCTGTTGGATTCTAACTGCAGCTCAGAAGAAAGAAATCCCAGGGGAACAAAAAGCTTATGAAGAAGAATGAAGTGTGATGGATGGTTAGGATTACCTTAGAAGATAACATTACTACAAACATGTTTTAAATACCTGCAAATAAATTAGTATATATTCTGATGTGCCCTGATCCCATGTACTATTAGTTCATCTGAAAACTTAGCCAGGGTAGGGCTACACCTTACGCTACAACAAAGTACATAAAACTTATAGCCATGTGATTTTTCACTCAGTCTAAAATGATGAAACTCCTCATGCTATGAAGCAGTTTGAAGCCAACCTTCTGAATTTCCAGGTGGAAGCATGATGTAGTCTCATAAAGCATACTATGGAACTAAAAATGTGTCAATGAAAAGTAGTGACTTCACTAAAAGTCACACAGAGAAAAGTTACAGCTAATAAATTGAATTAGAAGACTTCTCTTTTGTCCTCCAAAGCATGAGTTACACCTTGTCTGGCAAAAATCCTAAATCAAATATCCTAAAGTGATCACTGATGTGGACAAAAATTACATGAGGCAGAAGTGGCTCAACTGTGCCTATGGAAAAGCCACGTGAGTCTCTTTAGTTGCACTAGAAAATCAATGCTGGCTGTCAGCATTTCTCTGTATTTAGTTTTACATGTGTAATTTCTTTTTCTATTGATTTGGACACTTAAAGGCTATTTCTAATCCTTTTACCATACACTTGTGCCTTAACAGTAGCCTCAGCAAATTAGGTGACCTATTATTTTTTGTATCTTCAAAAAAGAGACATTTTCACATGATCTGGTAAGTAAAAGCAGTAGGGAAAATGAAGCAGAAGCAGACTCAGAAGCACTGAGGTACTTTTAAAAAAACTTTAGTTTCTGGGCTAGGATTTCCCATATGACCACTCCTGTGAAGCAGTGAGCGTGTATGTGCTTCACACTTCTCCACACCCAAACTATTCCTTCAAATCAAACATAACAAAAGGTGCAGGACAAAAGCGAATTTAAATCCTAAGAAAATCAAACTCTTCTACCCCAATAAACCCTCAACCTGATTTTGCTGCTCCACTGGTTTTGCTACTGGAACTGTAATTCCTGATGGGTGTTTTACCACCTGTAGCTCTGCTCTGCCTCCAATTCTTTCATATCATTCCATGGAAAACATGAAGAAGCAATTCTAGCCTTGCCTTTGCAGGTGGCCAGATCCAGAGGCAAGTCAACACCACCCCTCTTCCACAGCTATCAGGCCCTACATAAGAAAATGAAGCCAGAAGAATAATTTTTGAAGACTAGAGCTCTGAATTGTTCATATTTCTACTGATAATTATCTGGTTTTATTTAGCATCTTATAAAGCAAGGCACAAATGTACAAAATTGCGTCTACTAAATCAGGTCATTTTTATATATATTTACACAATTATCATAATATAAAACGTGCTTTGACACTGTCATAGCACAACAGTAGAGGAATTGAGGACAACCTGATAATAAATGCAAATACCAGGTCCTGGATTTCTGTTTGTGCTTCACCTGAAGGAACATATTCATATGCAGATACACAAAGCAATCCAGCCACCATCCTTTATTTTTCCACACCTCACACAAATCAAACTTTGTTACTAAGAAGCTGTGGAAGGAGTAAAAGGCAGTAGATCAGCACCCAGAAGAAAATGATGAAGTAAAATAGCTCTGGCTGTTCAAAAATTGTCATCTCATGAGTTGGTGGTGGAGCTTCACTTGCTTCTGAGTCCTTTTTCTTCCTGTAAACAGGAAAGAATTCAATAAGAGGCAAGAAAAAGAAGAAAAAAAAAGTCATTGTTAATATTTACTGTGAAGATCAGAGGGACAGACTAACAGACAGCAGTTTAAAGAACCAATTCAATCTAGTCAGCTGGAGTCCCTGCTAGACCCGGAGGGGCACAACAGGCTAAAGCAGTGTGTTCCTTCCAGAGCCAATGTACATATCAATTAATCCTCTGAAAACTCTGGACAAATTCTCAGGTAGTATAAGGAGATTCCCACCTGTCAAAAAGATGCTCTTTTGTTTTCAGAACAGTAAACATAGCTCTGGGCAACACACATCACACTGTCACAATTTTCCTTATACACTGGATCTGACTTGATATACTTCCCCCAAATCATCTACTTTCAGAGCTACTCATGTCAGAATATTAAACAGAAAAAGCCCAAAACTTCCAGAAACCAACTATAGCAGTTGGGGTTTTCCAGAACAACTCCAAAATTTGAACTTTCCAGATTTCCAGCTGTGGTTCATAAGGGCAAAGCCCAACGGACTCTGCTGGTACCATTGAGCTCCCACAAAGACAAGGAAGGGTCTTATTTAAAAAGGCACAAGATGGCACACTCATTTTATAATTTTACAATACTGTAAGAATAACCCTAAGGTTCTAATCTACTTTTGGAGAAAAATGTGTTTTGGCATGCTTTAATGAGTCCCTTTTTTCTGGCTTGGGGCATCCTACTTCCTCAGATACTATACTGGATATATACTTGAGTATTACCTAAAATTTGCTCAATATCAGCAATCTGTAAACAGCGATAACCGTAACAGCTATTCATGTATTTTTTTAACAGAAGCGTAAGTGAGACCAGGACAGTGGATCCTGATAATATTTTGTGTGTTTTGTGCATTTAAATATAACAGTCATTTTAACTAGAAGTTCTGAGAGGTACTACTCAGTATCAGCTAAGAGGGAAAACCTAATGTGATCCTTTGTTTTTTATAAACATTTAGACCCAAATAACAAAGGGATACACACTCTGTGTTCAGGACCCATCCCTCTAGGTCTAGACTAAACAAACACACACACGTACTCTAACAAGGAGGCCTGACCTGCACTGAAGTTATTGATTTTCCTTAGCATTGACCACACTAAATATTGTCTTGACCATCTTCCAAACATAGAAAGAGTCACCACTGCTAGAGGGCCTAACATTTGAGGTTCTACCACTCCTTTCTTGGCCTGACATATCCACTAAGGAGGGAGAATACTCAGAGTCTTGCTTAGACAGCTGAATCTTTCAACTCAAGTCAAGAAAAAGCATTTTAGTAAAGGGACAGATTGAAATAGGCAATATAGGAAATATGGACTTCAAGCCATTACAGAAGACATCCAGTCAGTTGCTACCATTATAATTAATTTGCAATTCCTTTGTAGCACTCCTAGTACTACCTAGGAGTTATGGATTCCTTGCAAAAGTCTTTGTCTGAATAAGAACCACTCACCTGATGATTAATGTACTTTCCCCCATATCTGTCATCTGCTGGTTTACACCATAAGTTTCCTTAAACAAACAAGAAATAGATTATATAACAGAAATAAAATTCAGCATCTCGTAAAGGTGGTACTTGTGTGTGTATTTTATGCAGAATATATCTAGTGCATATATCATATGTATCTAGTACATATGTCATATGTATTTCTGATAGCTCTGACAGCGCTGCAGAACTAAAGCATCTGTGTGAAACCTCAGTTTCATTGAACACTGGTGGCAGCATTTCTTTAAAACTCCACAATGGTCAGAATTCTATTTCTATGCTGAAAAAAGCCATATTCCTATCCCTGCTCAGCGTGCCCACATTGCTGATACTGTCCCTTCCTTCTGACTAAAAAGTAAAAATCCAGACTTCACCTGAGTGCTCTCAAGAAGCCAGTATGAATCACATCTGTCATTAGGGATGGAGTTTCATGTTACAACTAAAATTCTTTTAGGGTTAGCTGCTGCTACTGAGAGAATATAACACTGCTAATGTGAAGGAGAGGGAAAGAGCGCAGTTTTTCAGAAACAGTGCTCTTCAGGAGACACCCAGCATTTTTGCAGAGTTGAGACCAGGGCACCAACATATATACAGAGAATGCAAAAACTGAAAGAAACTGGGGCAGCAAGTAAAGGAAGCTTCAAAGAAGCAAAATGTTGCAGCTATACAGTTATGATGAAGTAAGATTCAAAGTTAAAACAGATTTAACTGTAGTATGAGGGACTCCTTTGGGGGGTTGTTCAAGGGGAAGTGAAGTTCAGTTCCATATATTTAGGAGATAGAGAAGCTATGCCTGGTTTTGACACTAAAATTATTAGAAGTCACAAGACTTTCATACTGTCACAGAGCTTTAGAGAGAGAGTAGACCTTTTTACAGTGTGTGAACTTCTGGAGATTAGAGAAACAGATTTCCACACATTTACCTCCTCAGAAGCATTAGGAGACCTTTTTCGGAGATAAACGTTGGCATCATTGTCACCGGTTCTGAAATGTACGTAAAAGCAAGTTTTTTAAATTCATAAAGCAGAGTTAAAGAGAGCCACTGCAATTGCACATGCCAGTTTTAAGCTGTGCAAAACCACAAATATGCATTGTTGCATGTATTAGAGTATGGACTGGAATTTATCAGTAATGTTATAAAATTAGCTTTGGGAAAATCTGACTCATTTTCAAAATTCATATGCTCAAAAAGGAATCTTTTGTGAAAAATGCCATCTGACAGCATTTTTCCACCTTCAACATCACTAACATTTCAGTGAGAGTATTCAGGTTTTATGGCATAAACATAAATTAAAAATGGACATACCTTGCAGGGAACAAAAAGCTTGAAGGGGACAATGGGTTTTTCTAAGCAAACTTTCAAACTCATTTGAGTGCTACAGTGATAAGCATCAACAAATTACAGTTCATGTCCCACTCCAATACATTATCTAAGAATAAACTGGAACGTAAGAAGGAACAGAAGTGAATTGAGTAAGATTAGCTGAGTGTCTCCACACTGGCTCTGGCTCGGGTGCAGTTAAATTACCCCACAGCAGCCCATATAGTGCTGTGCTTTGTACTTGCAGCTAGAAGGGTGTTGGTAAAACACGTGTTTTGGCTGTGGCTGAGCAGTGCTGGAACAGCACTGGGGCCGTCTCTCCAACCACAGCCGTAAAGGCCAGTGGTCTGAGGTGGGGCAAGAGGTTGGGAGGGGACACAGCCAGGACAGCTGACCCAAACTGACCAGGGGGCAGTGACACACTCATACTTGTTATTATATCTGTCTTCTGAAGCAGCCACTACACCCTGCTTCCCAGGAAGTGGCTGGACATCACCTGCTGATAGGAAGTAGAGAAAAAATAATTCTTATTTTTTTGGGCTTCTCCTAATTTTCTTCCCCACATGGCTTTTGCTTTTTTATCATTAAAATGCCTTTACCTCAACCCATGAGTTCTTCATATTATTTTCTCTCCACAAACTCATTTACTTGATCATAATCAGAAAAAATACCCAAAAAATATCTATTGGAACGAATCAGTGCCATTCTTCCATACAGTGTCACAATGCACATGGATTATTTCATCTACTTCACAAAATACTCTTTCTGTTGGAAAAGCAGTTATAACACTGCCATGTTCAAAATGCACTGGGGTTCCAAGTGGGCTCTGTGTAGCAAAGTGTACAATACAGTCAAATCAAGTTTCATTGGCACTGGATCACCCAATATGTTTAAGAGAAGCACAGGAAGAAGAGAAACACAGGAAGAAGACAATGAGTCCCAAAACACTTTTCCTAAAAGAAGACTACAAGAAACATCCAATGGACGGGGCACATTTTTAAAGACCAGTTAAGTGTATTTAAGAGAAAGTTAATGTGAAATACCTGGTAAATTCCTGACATTCAGCAATTTCTTGCAGATTATCTTGCGATAGAGTAGTAGTGTCGACTTCTGAGATCTGCAAATCTTCTTTGATCACATTTTCCCCTTCCTCTTCCCTATTACTACTTTCTTCTGGTGTCTTTATGGCTATTGATAAATCCTCTAGAGGTTCTACTATGGCCTGTTGAAGTTAAGAAACATTTTGCATTAAACTACAAGACTGATTCTCCACCCTTCCAAATACCTTAGTGGTGCAGCCTATTCAGATGCTACATTGCAGGTAGTATGAGACTGAAAGTCTCGATGAAGAGAATTAAAAAAGCAATTAATTTCTTGAAAATCTTTTTGGATACATTGAGCTATAAAGTATCACCAGGGCAACATACAATCATCATACTGACAATTGTCAGTTCTTTCTATTAAGAAGCCATGATATGACATGGCTCTTTGAAGCAATCCACTAGACTTTTTTAAATCTATCCCAAATTAGCCTTTCAAGCTAACAGCAAACTGACTTCATTACTCTAGTAAGTGTCAGGACAAAAACATGTTGAAGCAACTTGTCCAAGCAGCATACAGAGAAGCATTAAATGGACACTCATTCCTGAAAAACACTATCAAAAATTAGTGCACTGGAAAACATGTAAGGCGCTTCAAAATTGGTATCTGCAAGAAGAGATGCAGGAGCAAACTGCCTAAACCAAATACCCAAAAAATCCCTCTCTCTTTCTCCTCTTCCAGTGTAGACAAGCCTTCATTTTACCCACATAATGTGTCCTACTCAAATTGGTTTTTTAAACTTTTGTAGGCAAACTTATTTGGATTCAGGCAAAAATTGTTATTGTCTTTATCCTTTCTTTATAAGCAATACTACTTTCTGTTCATCTCATTACAAATTATTAAAAATACCCTCTCTGGTAATCTTTTATGCCTAGGGATTACAGAGAAGCCTCAAACTATTTTAAAACATAATAAAAAATCACATTTTTGCTGTACTAATAATCTTAGGGCTTATTCTCTCTTTTCATGTCAGATCTTCTGAGGGATCTGCAATTCCACTCATTCCAGTAGGGGGCTGTGGCAAACAGTGTTATGGGACTGGAAACTAAGTATATTTTAAATATTTCTCCCAAACACTGCAAAATGAAAGCAAATGAAAACCTCTGAGATCAGATGCTAATCCCCTACAAAGAAATGCTGGTAATAAAAAAAATAAAATACCTCAAGGTTTTGTGGAATAGTGGAATCTTGATCGTTGGTGGCCTCATTGCCATCTTCTTCAATTTCTAACTCTTCTAATAGTAATGGCACTTCTTTTTCATCAGAAGAATTCATGTGGCTGTTAATATTTTCAGTTTCCTCCTCGCTGTTCTCAGTATCTGTTTCTGATGGAGGGGCGCTTGGCTTATTCTCTAAGTCTGGCTCTGGAGCATCTTCCTTGTAGTTCTGTTCTGGTAAGCTCTTGTCGTGTAAAACATCCTTTACTGTTTCAGAAGAAGCTTTGCCACTTCCAGTGTCATAACCTTCGATACACGGCTCCAGGTAAGCGTTCAGAACTGCTGATATAGGGACATTATAATGTGGGTAGTAAAAGAGATCATGGGGTATTACAGATACTTTGGAAGAACTGGGTAACGCTTCAGCTGAAGGCTCAACTTCATCACAACTGTCCAGGTCATCTGGAGTTTTAGGCACATCTGAGAGAGAGTCGTCAGATGTTTCATGCTGTGTAGACAGTTCTTGGCTTTCGAGATTAGAACTATTCAGTGAACAAGGGCTTGTTTCTGTTGTCTCGAAGGCAGGTGATTCCTTTGTATGTTCATCTTCTGGATGTTTCTGTATTTCCTCATTTAGGAGATGAAGAACATACTTATGCGTATCTTCTTGTTTTGAGGTATCTTCTGGTAAAAGAATTGAAGACTGGGGTTTGCTCTCTTCTACTTTATTAATAGAATCATCTGTAAGTATACCTGAAGTCCAGGATAATGGACTCAAAGAAGAAGTATTGGCTGAAAGGCTCTTAGTTTCGTTGTCATATTCAGTGGGGGTTTCTTTAGTTAATTCTTCAGAGTATTCTTCAAAAGAGTCGACAGAATTTTTCTGATCTGTCAGAACAGTTGGAGAAACGTCATTGTTCTGTTTCAGTTGGTCATCAGAGATGCCCCCTTCACCTGACACGAATTTATCACTTAGAACCTCCCAAGAGGAACTGGATTCAAAACTGACAGATCCTGTGATTTTCAGTGAGGTAGGCCTCTGAGGCTCTTCTTCAGGTGTTTCCTGTGAATCACCTAACACTTGACTCAATTTCCCATTACAATTTTCAGCAGTGGTTTCTGAGGGGATTCTCTCAGGGATGTCATGAATATGGACCTTTGGAGGAGCAGGATGACTCCTCTCATGATTAACAGTATACATGTTTTCTTCACTTCCAGTTAAAATCAAGATTTTGCCTTCCTTTTCTGACGGTGTGTCTTTGATGTGGACGTATGTGGACTCAATTGGAAGCTCCTTGTCAGGATCTGTAAAGTCTTCCTATAAGTGATGATACACCATTAAATAATAAATCCTACCTCAAATACCATTTTACATTTCCCAAGCACTAGGGAAAGAAGAACTACCTAGCCCATCACCCCATTACCTTCTAAATGGCCAATTAATGACTCACTTCTTTTGAAAGTAGGAAAACTAATTTGGCAACTCAAGTGCCTTGAACAAAGCTCAGTGTCAAGAGGCCACTTGTACAGGAAGATCAGAATGCAGACAAGCCTAATCCTCAGTTGTTAATGTATTCATCTCTCCCTGCTGCACCTGTGGAGACAACTGACGGCTTTTTGACATAATCTCAAACCCTAGGAATAAAATAAATCTAACAACTCCAATAAATGCACTGTGAAATGTATTAATATATTAGATTATTTCATTGCAACAGACTGTATTAAAAGAAAGGCAGGTTTTTTTCTGTGTCCATTAAAACGCCAACAAGTCTTAATGTCAGCAGATCTTACTGCTCATCTAATTTAATAATAACAATTAGATTATTATAATAATTTTAATTCCAACGACTTTAGTAATGCCCACTAATTTTATCAGCTACAAAATATATCCCAAGTGGAACCTTCAGTTGAGAAATGAGAGGAAATGCCTGTTTCTGCAAAAGATCTTTGGCAATCCCTGGCACTGTCAGTCCCCACTTAATCCTCAACTCTTAATTTTTGCATTAAAGTCCTAGTTGTTTAAGCTGCAGTTTATTTCATGCTTACAGTGAGCGCTTTTGAGTATTGTATTGAAAAGATTCAGCCTGTGGTATCTTATCTCAGTGGTATCAGGTGTCTCATACCTGCTAAATTCAGATTGATCATGGCCCTCAAACTTGGGAAGATAGAATTTAAAATTAAATGCAAAGTTCAATGAATCATCATAGGTGAACAGATAAATTTCAGCCTTATTTAAGACAAATACAGCAAAGTGGTAGAGTCCTATGAAACCAGTTCTAACCTCTGAAAGTTACAATTGGATGTAAATGTTTAAAAGCACAATTCTACCTACAGCATTTAAGCAATCGCCAACGAAAGCCCATTTCACTGGATTTAACCAAAATGTGAAAAATTAAATCCGAGTTTGTTATTTTAAATAGCTTAGAAAGAAACCTAGAAAATAAATATCTGGCTTTATTAAGTACACCAAAGCAAATTAAAGAAATGTGATATAGGAGAAAACACATACCCCTTCCAGCTCCGGGAAGTGCTCCAGAAATTGTGCCACATATGTGACGATTGACTGCTCATCAGGTGATTCCACCATGATATCTATGGAGACAGACAAAAGGGCCTTGAGCACACATGGCTTTAAAACACTCTTGCAGAGGAACAGATCATCAGACATTTATCCTGCCTTTGTGGTGAGAGAATTAACAGCTAACAAACACTTTTCTTTTTCCAACAGATAAGATAAATGCTCTCCACTGCTGATGGCACTTGACAGAGTTCTCAACATCTTGTTCACATTAGTTTTTTCCTATTTCCAAACACACAGCAAATCCCAGTCAGGGTCCCTTTTCATCCACCTTTGAACTGTCATTTATGCTGTTGTCACTAGACAGTTGAGTGTTGTTGAGTGACAATACAGAGGCTTATTTGTGGCAGGATGGCCCAGTCTTCTGACATGTGACCCATGAAAGTGCAGTTGGGTTTTCAGTAATAACATCAAGGCCTAATACCTGTCTAGTAGAGTTCAGTAAAAAGCACCACAAGAAATCCACTTACATACATATATTTACATACATACACATATGCTTACATTTAAATATATAAATATGTGTGTGTATATATGCATTGTAAAGTGAAAACTGGGAGATGCAAATGCATTTGAACATGTATCTATCCATTTTCCTGGTACAGCAGCCTTGCACACTTTATCATGAAGGGACACTTAGTCTCTGCAGGCTGAGGGGTAACAAAACAGTGCACTGAGACACCCTTAAGCACAACAATTAATGCCACCTAGAAATGCAGATGTCACATAACATCCAAACATGAATCAGCACCAGTGTACATAGCTAAAACCATGGTAAGATCTCTGTCCCCAAGGAGCTTACAAATATGACCACCAGCATACAACTACAAGCCACTGACCAATTCATTTCTATTTTTCTAATCAGTAAGCTCAACACACTGATCACATCAACAGCCTAATCACTGGGAGGTTTTTGGTAAGTATCACAATGCAATATTCATGAATTCATTATAGTTTGAATGTTACCCAACAGAGCCGATGTAGGTGTTTTACCTTCTGGTTCGAGGAGCCGAGGAACACCCAGCTTATTCTGTGCTATGCTGAAAGCATCCTCCAGGTTTTCTCGTGCTGATTTCTCCAGTGCTTGCTTCATGTCCACCAAAGTGCAGTCTATGGCTTTTATGATGGCTAAGAAAGCAAGGCCACTCCTCCAACTGCTGGTAAAGTCCTGAACTGCAACACCGTACCTAAACAGAATTACATACGGTTTACAGGGGTGGTTGTGTTACAAAATCCAAAGTAAAGGCTCCTAAAAAAGTTCAAAGACTCCTAAAAGTTAAAACTGAAGGTTGCTGAGCTGCACTTGTCACATTTGAGATATTTTTGCATTTTAAAATGCAAAAATACAGCCAGAAAACACACAGATTCACAAACTGGATTGGTGTGGCTAACAGCTGACATCAACCTGCTTGTAGGAAGCAGTTAGTGAAAACAAAGCCCTCAAGAATTCAGCAACCACAATTAACATTCACAAAACCAAATGTCTCTGTGAATCCCATTTCTGTTGCTCTCTAGCATTTTAATGCCATAGCTTGGGAAAACTGCCAAGATTTAAATATTTAAACACATAAGCATAAATGATTCACATTCCTATGTACTTGGCCTTCTATAGCAGAAAATTTGCCAAATGCAAATGATGTCAGCATATCCAGAAACCACAAGTTTATGTCCAAAGTTTTGGAGGAAAAAACAGCCATCAAACTTGCAATGAAATACAGCCCCAGAATAGGAAATTCTGCACAGATCATGGGATAACAGTATTATAACGATGCTATTATGTTTTTATTAGTGCAGTTGCAAGAACAATTTTCTCCGATTAGATGTTTTCGATATGTACTCTTTGACTGGGCTGAAAAGTCTATGGCCTTTACTTCTCAGGTCCTCGCTGTCCTTGTATCACCTCCCTGTTAATGATGATATCAGCATTATTTTGGGACTAAAACTCTGCCTCCCCTATGGTCCTCACTGGCATCAATGAACTGTGGATTTCAATGGGACAACTTTATCTGCTCAACAAGCACCCTTAGCTTCACTGGAGATAACCAAGAGATGATGTGGTCCACAGGACCAAGCATTTAAGGTCTAAATTTTTGTCTTCAACACTAGACACAGAAATTTGTGTTCAAAAGCAGATTTGGACATACAAATCAACAGATAAAAATGCCAAATATTCATCTAACCAACCTGTATAAGTAACTTTGACCCATGCCTTCTTTAAAACTCTCTGCCAGTCATTGCTTCAGATAACAATATATATAAAATACAGTCCAAGCATTTGCATGTGCACTAGATATCATACACTACAGCTTTTTAAACTGAACAGTAACTCTGCCAGGATAAAGCATTACTAGAAAAAATGCTTTGGCAAAAGAACCACCTTTTTTATGAAAGAGAAGAGAGATGTGTTGTGCAATGGAAATGGACTCAAATTTTACAAGTTTGAGAGAAGTGACTTAAGTTTCACCACCTTCCCCCTTGAATTCTGAGGAATTAGGAGGTCTAGTAGGGTCTCTGTCCTTCATGGCACTCTGCAGCACACAGAGAAGCTTCCTCAGGGCTGTTCCTTAATTTAAAAGGCTGTTGATAAAGTCTTTCGATACATTTATTTTTTCAGTTCACCCCTTGGTTATACCTAGCCTTTAATTAGCAAAAGATATCGAACAGACTGCACGAAAGCCCAGGGGTATGGGGAGGAGGGAACGCTCCTGTTTTAAACAGCACCAAGCAGGTTAGTGGAAGTTAACATTTAACACTCAAACCATGAAGCCAGCAGCGGGCTTCAAGGTCAGACAGCTGCTGTAGACACACGGCTGTACTGAAACACCCCCTGCAGGGACCCTGCGCTCACACAGTAACAGACCCACAGGGCAGGACAGAGAAAAGAGACCCAGCTTCGAAAGGGCAGGTGGCAAGACACAGTTTTATACAAGGGTTTGTTAACTTACTTTCTGGTTTTCCTCTGAACCCAGATTAGAAGGGCCCTGATGGCTTTCCGCTGATCCTTCACTGTAATAGACATGTTTCTCTCCACGCTGGGAGTGCTGGGGGATGTGTCTGACTCTGGACCACTGGGCCCAGAGGACAGGCTGGAGGAGGAGGAGTTCCTGTTGAGGTTGCCTGTCAGCTCCTTAATCTGTAATAAAAGGCAAAACACACAATGCTCTGCTTTATCACGGGCTGCATGGTGTCCTTCTTTACATGCAAACTTTAAAGAGATCAGTGCCGTAAATGAATTTTAAGAGGCAATTAGAGTCCTGTCCATTTTAACTCTCGGCTTGTATTGCACAGGTGTGACAGCAGCAGCAGCCCAGCTGGCAGCCCTGGGCAACAGAAAAGGCAGGGTACTGTTCAGGCTAAACTGCGGAAATTCCTATTAAACAAAAAGCAAAGAAACAGGTCCTTGAAAGAAAAGTTAGTTTAACTGAAATTGTTATCTTCACAGGAGTTGCTTGTGTGAAATATTTTTAGTCAAAAAATAGTGAACTGCAGTAGCATTCCTGTCCTTGGTCAGCACTGACATTTGAGTTCAAATTATCCACTCTGCTGATTTTGGATCCCCTGTGCCCTCTGCTGCCAGGGTGACAGATCCTGGTCGCAGCATCTCTGCCTGGCCAAACCGGTTCTGTGCAGCACTTGCTCAGCCCGAGGAGCTCAGCCAGGAGAGAAGCCCCCATGCAAATTCAAGATCACTTTTTTAACCTTACAACCATTTTTAAAATGAGACCAAGAAAATGAAAGGGCCTCACAGTCTTACAAGAGTTGCAGAACCCTCCCTCCATCTCTCTCCGTCCATCAGAATTTGGTATTGTCTAGAAGGTAATTTTCAAACTATGTGTAGATTAGGGCACAGTTTTAATATAAGCCTGGGGCTAAATCAATTTTCAGGCTCAAATCAGTTTTGTCAGTTCCCAGCCCTTTGAGATCTTTCATTCACCAGTTTTGAATTTTTGCCATGTTGAGTAAGTCTCCAGAGATCAGTGATTCTAAATGGAATTTCCCACCACATTGGACCAAATCCAGAAAAGGTTATTGAAAATAAACTGTGACCTGGAACCAAACCCAGGACATTGGTTCAGATCCAGGGAATCTGGAACAGAACCCTGAGAAGGCAAGGAGAGAAAGCAAAGTAGTAATCTGAATCTCTAATTCAGGTCCAAGTCAAATGAGGGTTTAAATTGTCTCCAATTTACACCAAAATAGGTCGAATGAAGTAAAACGAAAGCAGCTGCAAGTATAAAATTAGTGTATATTAGGAGGGTAAACCTCAGGTTTGCTATGATTAATTATGTTCTTTAGGACTAAAAATCAATTTAAAAATCAGTATTCAGCTGGAATAGATTGATACCATGAAGACAGTTCACTTATGAGTATTCAAATTTTATTACCTGAAAAAACAAGATTATATTCCATATTAGTCCAAGAACCAGAGAGGAATTTCCATCTGCTATTTCTGCTGCATCGATGCTAACAAGCTTTACCTGTAGAAGAGATAAATCCAGAGCCAAATTCAAAAAACCAAGGATATGCAAAAAATGCACTGAGACTACTGGATATGTCCACAGCACTTCTGCCACTGACTGGCTGGCCAGTAAGCAATACTGAAATCTTGTGTTAAGGATAATTTTCCCTGATGACAATCACCCTGCTTCTGGATCTGAAGGCCCCAGCATAGTCTGCAGTACAAAAGTGAACCCAGTTCTGCAGTCCTGGGATCACAAATGCATTTCCTCCATATAAAACTGGAAGAAGACAGGGCCCACTACAGTGGATCCCATTCCTCTTTCTCACTTCTCATAGAAAAATTTAACATCCTAAGATCCTAGTAAGGTCTGCTTACTTCTTTTTTGCTACGCATCTTGTTCCTCCTTGCTTATCCCACCTTACATAGCTTGTCACAGAGTTCCGATTAAATCAGTGAGCAAAGGATAGGGTTGCCTAATCCAAGCAAACTCTAGACTTTCCCACAGAGGTTTTTTCCAGCTGATAACACCAGGATGTTATTCTCTTAGACAACACAGACTTGGTTTTGGCAAAGGTCACAGGGCAGGGAGGAAACAAGGAAGTTGTCAGTACTGCAAAGGCACCAGGCCGAGTTAAAGCCCAGCATACAGCCCATTTATCTCGGAGAAATCCCGGACATGGTGAATCACTCAGCAGTGCTTTGCCCTGCTGCCCCAACTCAACAGAAGCCTATGCTGACGGGTTCCACTGTGGTTTAATATCTAACCCTGAAGCTCTTGGCAGCCAAGGCATTTTGCCAACACTTTCATCACCACCCTTCACTAACCGGTTTGGTTAAGCTGAAAAAATGAAAGCAAAATAGCTTTTTATCTAGTGGTCTGCACAACATTTTCAATCTTAGCAAGAAGACACCTCTAGCTGTCATATTTCAAGGCTCAGATTTCTTGCTAGCTCCAAAGTATTTGGCATGGGAAAACCTTTAAGACTTGATGCATTTGAATAGCACTTTCTCCACAACAGGGAGCAAGTGGCTTTTATCATTAGACTGCTCAGTGTGAGCTCTGTCCTCTTACTGCTGCTTAAGCTTGTCACCCAGCTCAGTAGAAATACTCTGCTGGTAATACCAGCTGCTGGTATTACCTGTCAGCAATATTAAAATATTGGCTGCTTACTTTTAAGGGAACAAGAAATCCATAGAAAAGAGGGTTTAGCACTCATAATTAAAAGGCCACCACTACTCAAGGCTCCTCTTGCCTGGCCTAGTTCACTGAGGTTCTAGGTTGTCCCCTGGTGAGGTCCTGGCAACCAGATATGCTTCAGCTGCAGCTCTGCAATGTGCTGGTACCAACAGAGAGAAAAAAAAATCTCATCTGCCAGTGGGCCTTAGCTAGTTTTGGGTAGAAAGCATCAACTGGGAAACTGTTAAGAAATATGTGAACATGTAAAATATTTTTCCACAGTTCTATAGTAGGATGTGTAGATGTACATATTTAGGGCCAGATCAGCCTCTACTGATGGATTTTCCATACACCTGGAAGTTCCTAGACTACTTGACCTTTCTACATCTCCTCCTGAGGAAAAAGGCAAAGGATGTTAAACCTCCCACAACACAGGGGTTATAAAAGATGTACTAAGACCTCACATCATGCTCATTCCCACACTGGGGTTTTCAGCAACTCTCCTGCAGGATCTCTGGAGCAAGAGTTAAGCTCAGTGCAGGGAAGCAGCAAAGTGGCATCAGTTGTGTTAGGGCATTCCATGCAAGGCAGGGTTCTGCTCCTATGCTCATTCTCAATCCCCCTCAGCCATTAAGATAAACCTTACTGCAGTCCTTTATAGGAAATAGCTCATTGTCTCTTTCTGGAAGATCTGGGTATACGACATATATGAGTTGTTACATGGCTGGGACTTCTCTTGGCCCCATTACTTCTCAACATTTTTCAAGAGCAGAGAGTTTTCAATACACAGGCCACTTCAGCAAGGCTTTGGAATAAACCCATGTTGGGAGAAATTAAAAAAAGGAGTGAATAATTTCAAGCTACCGGGCCTGATCACTCTTGGTCACTCACAACTTTAGGAAGTGATGCTGCAGTACTGCCACACTGACCATGAGGGAAGTTATATCCCCATAAGGTTTTGATTCCTGGAATTATGCATCTATGTCATGTTCCCAGATTTCATTTTCTCTTGCCTTTGACTCATTATCAGCTGCTGCAGCAGTCACTTCACCAGAAAAATACATGATTTGTAATATTCAAAGTATTCCCCACAAAAGAAAGTCACCTACCTTCAGCGTAACTGAAGCAATGCCACTAAGACCCAGCTCATAAAAATTATTTGCATTTCTTTTTGTTTTCTTTTAATATGGCTTTCCTGATCCTTTAATCTCATTGAACTTTTACACATAAAATGAACAAATAATCCTTGTTTTAGGCTCCATAGGTGTTCTTGTTGCGCATTTTTATGTGGCTTTTCAGCCTTGCTTCTGAAAGGTAAGTAGTCTCAGCCTCTTTAGCAGTACATTCCTCTTACGTACATGCAGAATATCCGAGTTTACTACAATTGCAGCAATTGCAACTTGCAACATACATCAGGAGAAAAATATTATGACCAGCCTTTGGAAATACTCACATTACTGTCCTCCAAGAACTTAAGTGCTTTGGCTATGTTGTTCAAACGAAAAATGCGATGGGTTGAAGATTTGTATTCGTGCATCTAGATAAAAGAAGAGCCACAGTGTTTAAAATGGTGGAATTATTAAGCAGGTCATACAAAACTTAAAAACCTACAAGCACTGAGGCAAAATAAAGCTAGGGAAATCTACCTATGTAAAATTATTGCCATCTTTGGTGAGCAGTAAAATGCTTCAACTACATGACCGTAGCAAAACAGGGTTAGCAACCAGCTTTCCTGCTCTCCAGATGTTATCACTCTCTTGGACCTGCCCATTGATTATTTATGTAATTATTCCCCAACCATGTTCAGTCACAGGATCAAATTTGCCTGAAAATCCATAATAATAGATTTTTTTTGTCTTGAATTAAATAAATTATCCTAATTAGGAAGTACGAGCAATTTTCATAGCAGGTACAGGCAGGTGGGAGGCAAAACCCCTCACTTTGGCAGAAATGAAACAGATTTTGCATGCCTGTCGCTCTGCAATTCCACTTTGGCACACTGTTTTTATCACATGTATACAGAAACACCTAACAATAAGTTTGGCCAGCTGACCTTGCCCCCTTCCCTGACCTCCTCTCTGACCTCCTGGGGCATAGCCTATGGTTTACCATGACGTATCTCCCCCTTCAATTCCTTTCCAGTCTGGCTCTCAATGCAATCTGTGTGAAGACACATAGAGACACTGCTGCTTCTGCTGCAGCTCTGCAAAACTCCTAGAATATTAAAAAATAGGTGGTTCTGAATGTGTGACCACACATTCAGGGGCCTTTCCTGCTGCAGAAAGCAGGTGGTCAGTCACTACAGAGCATCACCAGGTGATCACAAGTGCATCTGCAGGGGTGGGAGCAGGCCCCTCCTCTTGTCCAAGTCTGATACACACACACAGGAGAGTCCTTGCTGACAAGATTGATGGAGAAAGAAAACATTAAAGTCAATTGTAACTGGGCTTTTATATTTGCACTGGGTGTTCCATTTCTGGTATGTGGAACTTTACATAGCTCTTATAAAAAAAGGAGGAGAGAAAAAGGTTCTGATTAGTGAACCTTTGCCCTGCTAATTTAGACCATATTAGTAAGACTAATGAAAACTGAGGGGTAGGAACATTAACACTGATCACACACCATTTACACCTCATTGTTATGTATTTCCTTGAAATCTTACTGCTCAGGGCACCAGCCTGTAACATAAGGAAATTACAAGAAAGCTGCTGAAATTCGTATTACTATACCCAAGACATGGCACCAAATGCACCCTTACTCCTTGGATATCCATATATTGTTGCTCATAACATACCAAGCTCCCTCCCTATGGAGGTTTCTCCCTCTCTGTACATACCAACTTTTGTCCTGACAGGACTTCCAGGAGCGCCATCAAGATTTTTCCATCTTGTATATCAATAAACAAGTCTTTCACTTTCAAAGGAGGCTTGCACTGTGAAGAAAAGAAACCAAGTAGCTTTTAAAGCGGTACTGTTTGATAAGTCACCACGATTTCAGAGAGTCAGAAGGAGAATTTTACAAGACAGAGATACTAGAAGTAAATCATAGCCTACCAGAAGAAAGAGCTGACTATTCTTCACAGCAGAGGCAATTTTGTCCTCTGGAATGTTGGAGCTAAAACTGAGATACTGAACTCATGTAATTGAGATCAGACAAGGACTAATTCCATATTTCCCATAACAGAATCTAACCCTAACTACTCTGCAAAGAAATGACCACCCAAGGGTTGGGTGCTGATCCCTCAGACTAAGACAAGTCTACCAGATGCAAATACCACTTAATACAGAAATTAGCTTGTGATCCAGCCACAATGCCCTGTCTCCTCTGAAAGGTTTCTGGTGTGCTATTCTGCTTCCCCGTATTTTCTAAGTACTTTAAATAGCCACTTCTTGTATTGTGTCTCTTTCTTCTCAGCAAACTCCTCCAAAGGGAACCATGACCTCACCTCACTGAGCTGTGGGATGATTTGTGTGCTGTGAGGCACACAGCCAAATCAGCTCAGCCCTTAGGGGTAGTGTTAGCTGCAGCAATTACACTCTCTTCAGGTGTCACTCGCTCACGTGCCCCTAAAGAGCCCAATCTTTTTATCTTTGGATGGGCAACACACTACTGTTTCATTAAGCACTACTCCTGGCAAACCCAGACCACACATTTTATTACTGGTCCCTAATCTAGCCAAGAGTACTAAACAGTGCTCCATGAAAGAAAGCAATTCATTTATTTCAAAATTAAATAACCTATCTGAAAGCCTCAAACCCAAACCTTCTCTATTCCTTCAGTACTTAGGGCAAGAACAAACAGAACCCAGAAGTGCAGATTACTCCCAAGTATCCCATGACCAGCAGAGCCAGATCCTCTCAAAAGATGACCTAAGTGGGATGGTCTGCTCCAAAAGGAGACACGCCACACCATAAGTTTCCTGAAGAAGTACAAGAAGACTTCCTTGCTGCCTCTGAAAGGAAGAAGCCACTCTGCAAGAGGTGCTTCTTTGAGGCAGAAGACAGAAGCCACCTTTCTCAGTGAGTGTCCTCAGGGAATCACCTGTAATTAGAGACAGCTTTGATGAAGCTCTCATTATTTACATGTGTATGTACTATTTACATGTATTATGCCACTTCCAGGAAAAACATTAATATAGCAGAAGACTTTTGCCCTTTCTCCAGAAAGGCATTTTGCTCTGTTGAATCAGAGAGGAAAAAAATTTGTATGCACTCCAGAGAAAGCTGACCTGCCCGCAAAGGTTCTAAGTCTTCATATGCTTGGCACAGCAGAATTAACAGCACCCTACAGCCTTTTTCAGGATATAATTCCTTCTGTAAATCAAGGACCACCCTCTACAGTCACATATTTGACAACCCTTTCTGACAACTTCCAAAACTGCAGTTAGTTTAAAGCCCTAGAGCCTGATTCACAAAGGCATCACGTAACACTGTCTTCTTTCTGAGAGGCCTTTGGGAGCAATTGCTAGTCAAAACATTCCTAGCTAGCCGAATTCTGATTTTCCAGTGAGTTTTAAGAGGATCCCTTTATGCCTTCAGCAACACTCACTGCACAATAGTGGACTTAGGCAATATTTACATGATGCCTTTCTTCTAAAATCCCTTTACTTTCCTGTGTCTGAAATGCAGTCACTTCCCAAGAACTACAGGAGCTAAACTTACAGTCAGTTTGGGGCCCAAACTTAGACCCATTCCATTCTCTTTGAAATTTAACCACAGATACTAAAGCATTGTGAAGCTCAAACACTGGTCTAACTTGGGACTTGTCTAGATCGGGAGCTGGTCTTGTTTCTTGATCCTGCACTAAGCATTGCTACTGTCTCAGTAATATTAAGGTGTTTTTTTTCCTCTTTTCAACCGCAACAGCAGGAAAAAGGTTCTCAGCATGACAGACCAGTCAGGAGAGTTAGTACTTACCTGCTATTAATAAGAACAGTAAATTGGGTTTAATAGCCATATTATGTTGTGATTAAGAAACGACTAGAGCTTAAAGATATGAAGGGATGTCCAAAAATTAGAAAATTAGTTCTCTGATGGATATGTGGATATGTGAAGATCCCATCTTACTGCGCCTCACAACATGGCTGACAAGGAATTAATGTTTTCCATCTTCACATCTGGGATGAAGACGGGTTCTGAAGAACATCTGTCTTTGGCCGTGATGCCTCAGATGTTCAAACTTCCAGACCAGGGAAGAACACAGACATCATCACCAGAGCAGCCTCAACCACATCTGATTTTATGTGGGAACAATCTATGGGAAAATTCTAACCTCATGGTAACAGTCATTAGCATTAAAGACTTAAATGCACCTAAGATGAACTGAAGCTACCCAAGCATTGATTGTGCCTGAAAACAAATTTTAATTTAGTCAGAAACAGGCTTTAGCTTTCCATCACCCTCCTCCAGATGTGTCTGCATGCACAAAAGTCAACTTTGTTTCCAAATTTTAACTCCTTTAAAAGGAGTTAACTGCAATCTGTCTATGGCTATATCCTTGTATCCCAATATCAAGACTGTCAGTCTTACCTTTCCCAAATGCAGGTTTATCCATCTGGTAAAGGTCCTCTTCTGTACATTTTCCCGTTCCACTATAAATATCAGAAACATAAAACAGCACTTAAGTTTCCAGGAAAGGGAAAACTGGTAGGAAATTTCAGAAACTGATACACAAAACAGAATTCGTGAGAGCCCTGTGAATAAAACAAATATATTCCAAACCAGCAGACATAAGTTTAAGCTACAGGGTTTTATTCAATTTCTTTGCCCAGACATGAGCTATACGCTTGTAGATGCATTTTTAAAGGCAGGAGGAAGGAATCTCTCTTAGGTTTGCAATCTTCAGTGCTCAGCTTCTGAGAGGTGAACATTTATTTGTGTGCTGTGCACACAGTGATGTCATCCTCTGAACAGGCAACTTGACCTTTCTATGTGAATTTATAGAATTATTGCTCTGACACCCTCATGCAAATTGGGCTGGCACAGATTCCAAAATACTTACTTGCATGCACAAGGAAACAGGACCAACACAACAATTTTGTCTTCATTCTTATGAATGGAAAAGCCTCATCAAATCTCATCTTCCCAGTCTCCTAACCAGTACATTTAAAATCAAAATTCCAAGTCCCTAGATTAAAGAATAATTTTATTTATGTTGGAATAAGACGAGGAGTTCTTGTTTCTTGCCAGAAGTGCTGTATGCTAGGTGCTGTACAAACAGTTCTCAGGCCAGCTGAAGAGTTTTTAATCACATCTGCCATTTCCTGAATCCATTTCCATAGTGAACTACAGCAAAAGTGCAAGGGGAATCATATTACTGACCAGCTTTCATTTACCTTCTAATATAAAAAAGTAAACCATATATTTAATATAAATGAAGTAGACTGTCAAAGTAATATTTCATTTTAAAGACAATTATTCTCAAGTGGTTCTCAAGTTTCACTTGAATTAAGGAAATCTGGCAATTTATGAACAAAACCCATTAAAACAAGTTATATGCTGTATTTCAATTTACTCATAGAGTATATCAAATATATTTTAAAACCATTTTGTGTTTCTTCAGCTCTACAAAAATAGCTAACCCATCTACTGGGAAATCACATTCTGTAAAAGTTTGGCTTGTTTTTATTGGTCAGACTGATTATAGGCCAAGCAGTAGCTTCTGTAAATCAAATTTTAATATTGTTCTTTTTGATCATTTTAACTGAAGGGTCAGCAGCCTCTAATCATATGTATAATTGTTTTCCTTATTTTGATGCATTGGAATAGAGCTTTCAGCATGAAGCACATCTGTCACTTTTAAGTCCTCTTATTCCATAAAACCTGATTTTATATAAGATTTGTTTTAAAAAAGTCATTACCCCTTAAGTGCTTTAGAAAACATGGAAAATGCCAAACTAATTATTGCTGTTGGCTTTTCTTTTAAAATGTCTTAGAAGAATGTGCACAGATTTGAAACAGCTCTCTACAAATGAAACTGTAAATTATATTAGGATTCCAGAGTATCTGTAAAACACCCACAGCATTTACCACCTACAAATCCCAAAGTACAACAAACTGAGAGACGTGTCACATATTTCTTGGGCTTCCCTTCCTTCACCACCTTGACCCCAGAACTGGCTTTCCATGCACTCCCACAGCCAAGGGCTGAACAGAAGTGCTACGTGTCACCCAGGGTGTAACTTCCACAATTGATCTGCTAAAATTAACCTTGGAGGGTGGGTGGAGGTTAATGTTTAGCCAGAACTTCTCCCAGATATACTCCTTTCTGTTCAAACACAGGTGTTGGTGCAAAGGGGAAGGCAGAATAGACACAACAGCTAGCAGTAGGCAATGGGGCCACCTCTTACACTTGTCTGAAATGCTCAGGAATGCTTGGATGGGCATCAGTGCCAGGCTTTGGGAAGGAAAGGAGACCTTATCAAATGGGCTGGATATACAGACTTCCAATGTCAACCAAAACCAAAGTGGAAACACAGAGGGTACACACAAGCAAATATAATGTTTTCTGGTATCATCAGAGCCTTGGTTTCTTGTCCTGTTTTTCACCAGTCACTTTGACAACCTTCATTTTCACAGTAAATAAGGATGCAAAAGAGAGCTGTGTTTATTTACAGACCATCCATAAAACTGAGCATACATTAGCTCCTAATTTGGCTGCAGAAATTCTGCCCTGATGCAAATTAGGAGTTGCACATATGCCTCAAAGGATGGGTGAGCCAAGCTGGTATGACTGCTTTGGGAAGCTCACACACCAAAAAAAAAAAAAAAAAAAAAAAAGGAAGCACTTTTTATACATGGACAGATTTCTGAGATGAATCACTGAACATTTCTATAGCAAACAGCCTCTTTCCAGGAAGAGCAATGACTCCAGAATGGGCACTATTTGATTCTGTAATAGTCTAAAGCAAGAGTAACTGGACGGGAAGAGGAAAAGGGAGGAAATGTGTTTATAAAATCCCTAAGGTAGACAAACTCTAATGCAGTCCATATGCTCAATGGCAGAGTTAATGGGAAAAGTTCAGCACAGGTATTTACTGATGTGTGCCTTTAACTACTATTCTTCTCCAGCTTTGTGGACCTCCCAGTTTCAGTACGGCCCCTCTTCTCCACAATCTTTTCATTTAAGATGATTGTAGAGACTCTATAAACTTTATACAGTTTCTATAAATTAAATAGAATCTTTTTTTCTCCTTCACACCTACTATGATATAAAAGTGAAGAAAATCATTCAAGTCTAAAGTTCCTATGCTTATGTATATAGTTTACTGAAACTGCACTGTGTTTACTGGGCAGCTAGAGAGCAATAACACCATTATAAAATAATTACACCCACATATAGCTGGCCTGCACACTAATACCGTGCTGGAAAAGAAGAATTCCTGCTGTGAGGGTTGGATTGAAAGATCTAATGCTGGAAGGTAGTAAAAGTTAGGAATTGCCATTTTCTTTCAGCTCATACCTTGACATAACAGCAAAATTACACAGAGAAACTTTGACCACCACACAGAAGTTGGGTCTTACATATTCTTCCAATAAGCTCAACTGTAACTTGTTTTCACAAGAGGGTTGAGGACGTTGCAGAGGCACAATATTAATATCAAAGTGCATGTGTAAGACACTGACAGCCATTAGCTGCAATAATTTAGAGGGGAAAAAACCCCTAGAGAAGGAAGAGGTGTGCTGTTAGGATGATGAACCTATTCCATAACCCACACAGTTCTTTGCCCCCCACTGTGTCCTAGAGGACAGGAATTTGGCGGAATTTGGCTCAGCCCCAGTATCTGCACCTTAGTAAGCCTGCAAATAAATATTCACAAAGATACACTGCTTTGTCAAGTCTTATGGCAAAGGCAACTAATTTGTCAAAGACTAAAACTAAGCTATTTCAAAAACCACTTGGGCAGAATTCAAGGTTAAGCTGCTAATGCTCAAGGGAGTTCAGCTGCTTTCCTGTGTGGCACTATTTTCTTCCCCATTAGTCTAGAAATTCCTCAGGCATTTACCAACGCCATTTTTTCCTCTCTCAAATCTCCTCAGAGGTCATTACTGTTGCATCACCTACAGGAAGCCAATCCCTAGCAGCCTCTACATTCAACAGCAACTTTGAGATAGCAAATATTGATTTGCTTCTAAATACTATTTATTCTGTTGTTGTAGAACCAGTTATGAATAATCCTCTGAGGCACACCACGGCAGGGCTGGGCACATCAAGGAACTATGAAATGTGGAAGTTGATTTGAGTGGAACACTTGTCAGTATGTAATTACATAGCTTCAGAAAACTGCTTGATTTGCATGTATGGATATTACTCCCAAAGCAACGCATAAGGACACTTAAATTTGCTTCCAAACCTATTAGCATTTCATCTAGGATATCATCATCAGATGACGTTAAAGCCTTCACAACAGGCCAAGCTGGCTTTTAGATCCACTTACCTTCAACTTACCTTCCGGACATCTCGCTAAGTACCAGCTTTATAATATGCACAAAAGCCAGCTTCCTTGTTTCTACCACAATTTACAACCTCTATAGATACAAGATATACCTGTTATTAACAAGAAGCAAGTTTTCAAGATGGTAAATGATGGTGTTGGCCACCTAACTGTGAGAGAGCATGCTTTAACTGCCCTTGGCTTGAGAGGCCCATATTCACTTCATAAGTAACCAGTGGCCACCACAGAACCAGCTCATAACATGCATGGCTCTGGAGACATCCTAGCATTTGCCAAAGAAAATGGCACTTCTTATTACACAATAAAAATATATGGGGAAATGTATGATAATTAAACACTACAGCCTAACTCCAAAGTGGAATGTGGTTCAGACACCCTAAGTCTTGGGAAATGCAAATTCCTCTCCTTCTGCCTTCCTCACCCCCAAATCCTCATTCACACAGTTAAGCAATCAATCAATTTCTAGTGAATACACGCTAAACAATCTACTTTTGAACTACAGGCCAATAAATAAAACGAGAACTGGATTTTAAACTTGACTTCATAGTATTCCTTCACTGTGACTCAGCCTAGGTATTTCTGATTACTAGGCAACATACTATCAAATCTGAATACTCTCTTCTCTGCAAACAATGCCCATGAAGGAAGCCAGATTGACATCTTAGAAAATTGGTTTTACCTCAGATTGCTTATTTGCGATGCTGAGGGATGCAAGTAATTGCTTGCAGGCAAATAAAGGCCATTCCATTAGTTACAGTAAGTGGTCAGGCACTAGATACAGGATATTGATGCCAGACACCAGATACTGCATCTGACAACTGTAAGGAAGCACAGATCCTTGTCCGGGAGACCTTCTACTGTTCAAACATGACACGTGGGACAAAGTTTAAATGCAAACAACAAAGACAGGGCACATGCAAGCAACACATCTGACATGGGAAGGCTGATTAAAGGTGTGCTGTAACAAAAATAAAAGGGGGGTGAGCAAGGGAGACTGGGTGGGGGGTAGCAACTGACAGCAAAATAACTGAGAGTAGAAGATTAAACATGTAAATTAGGGCAGGGAAAAGCACAATTAAATTTTCCACTTTTGTTTCATCTCAACACAGAGTTACATTAAACACATTGAATGCTCA